ACACACACAGAGGACGTACACATATATAAATACACACACACAGAGGACGTACACATATATAAATACACACACACACAGAGGACGTACACATATATAAATACACACACACACCGTATATATTTATTTTATTATTACTTATTACTTATTATTAATTACTTATTATTATTACGACTATTACAATAACTTTTTAAATGAAAAATCACTTTTTGAAATTACAGTGACTTTTTTTAAAATGAAAATTACTTTTTAAAAAGTATTTTTTAAATGACAATTGCTTCTTAATTACATAATAGTAATAATTTCCCCTTAATTACTTAATTACCTAATTACTTAATTACTTAACCATTTAATATCCTCCTTAATCTTACACAGGTCATGTTACTTTTATTTTATTTTATTTTATTTTATTTATTTTATTATTTATTTTATTATATTTTATTTTATTTTTTTATTTTTTTATCTTATCTTATTTTTATTTTATTTTATTTCATCTTATTTTATTTTATTTTATTTTATATTATTTTATTTTAAAATCATTTATTATTTTATTTATTTTATTTATGTTATTTTATTGTTTATTTTATTTTTATTCACTTTATTATTTATTGATTTACATATTATATTATATTTTTTTATTTTATATTATTTTATTTTATTTATTTTATTTATTACTTTTATATCATTTTATAATATTTTCTCTTTTCATTTCTTTCATTATATAGATTATAATTATTAATATAATATTAGTATTAATATTAATATAATATTAATATAATATTAATATTGATATAATAATAATATGATAATAATATATTATAATATTAATATAATATTAATATTAATATTAATAAATTATATAAACACAGATGATATACTCGTATATATTTATTTTATTATTACTTTTATTTATTACATTTATTATCACTTATTTATTATTACTTTTATTTATTACATTTATTATCACTTATTTATTATTACTTTTATTTATTACTTATTTATTTAATATTATTTTTATTTATTACTTTCATTATCACTTATTTATTTTATTATTACTTAACCACTTAATCTACCTCTTAATCTTACTTATTATTGGTAATAATAATAAGTAATTAATAATTGATAAGTAATAATTACCCTTAATAACTTAATTACTTAATTACTTCACTAATTAATTACTTAATTACTTCACTACTTAATTACTTAATTACTTCACTAATTAATTACCTCACCTCTTAATTACTTAATTAATTTACCACTTAATTACTTAATGACTTAATTACTTAATGACTTAATGACTTAATTACTTAGCCACTTAATCTCCCCCTTAATAACATAATAACTTTATTACTTAATTACTTAATATCCTCCTTAATTACTTAATTACTTAATGACTTTATCACTTAATCTCCCCCTTAATAACTTAATTACTTAATCTTCCTCATCTCCACTTAATTACTTCACCGCTTAATTACTTACTTAAATCTCCCCATTAATAACTTAATGACTTAATGACTTTATCACTTAATCTCCCCCCCCCCCTTCCAGATGACATACACGGCATGGTCGAGGATTATGAGGAGACGAACCTGCCCATCAGCGACGACAGCGAGCGGTTGAGGACGTTCTGCGAGAGACTGGAGTTTTTGCTCAAGTTTGGGCTTAAAGGTAGGAGGGGGAGAGGGAGAGGGAGAGGGAGAGGGAGAGGGAGAGGGAGAGGGAGAGGGAGAGGAGGGAGAGGAGGGGGAGATAGGGAGAGGAGGGTGGGAGAGGAGGGTGGGATGGGGTGGAGGGAGAGGAGAGGAGGGTGGGATGGGGGGGAGGGAGGGGAGGAGGGTAGGGTAGGGAGGGGAGGAGGGTAGGGTAGGGAGGGAGAGGAATGGAGGGTAGGGAGGGAGAGGAGGAGGAGGAAGGGAGGGTAGGGGGGTAGGGGAGAGGGAGGGAGAGGAGGAGGGAGGGAGAGAGAGAGAGAGTGGGAGGGTAGAGGGAGGAGGGAGAGAGGTTGAGGACGTTCTGCGAGAGGCTGGAGTTTTTTGCTCAAGTTTGGGCTGAAAGGTAGGAGGGGGAGAGGGAGAGGGAGAGGGATGGGGGGGGAGGGAGGGAGAGGAGGGTGGAGGGAGGGAAGGAGGGAGGGAGAGGGAGGGGAGGAGGGTAGGGTAGGGAGGGAGAGGATGGGGAGGAAGGGAGGGAGGGGAGGAGGGTAGGGTAGGGAGGGAGAGGAGGGTGGGATGGGGGGGGAGGGAGGGAGAGGAAGGGAGGGTAGGGGGGTAGGGGAGGAGGGAGGGGGAGAGGGAGGGAGAGGAGGGAGAGAGAGAGAGAGTGGGAGGGGTAGAGGGAGGAGGGAGAGAGGTTGAGGACGTTCTGCGAGAGGCTGGAGTTTTTGCTCAAGTTTGGGCTGAAAGGTAGGAGGGGGGAGAGGGAGAGGGTGAGGGAGGGGTGGGATGGGAGGGAGGGAGGGAGGGAGGGAGGGAGGGAGAGGAGGGGGAGGGAGGGAGGGTAGGGTAGGGAGGGAGAGGAATGGAGGGTAGGGAGGGAGAGGAGGGGGAGGAAGGGAGGGTAGGGGGGTAGGGGAGGAGGGAGGGGGAGAGGGAGGGAGAGGAGGAGGGAGGGAGAGAGAGAGAGAGTGGGAGGGTAGAGGGAGGAGGGAGAGAGGTTGAGGACGTTCTGCGAGAGGCTGGAGTTTTTGCTCAAGTTTGGGCTGAAAGGTAGGAGAGGGAGAGGGAGAGGGAGGGGTGGGATGGGAGGGAAGGAGGGAGGGAGGGGTGGGATGGGGGGGAGGGAGGGAGAGGAGGGGGAGATAGGGAGAGGAGGGTGGGAGGGTGGGATGGGGGGGAGGGAGGGAGAGGGAGGGAGGGAGGGAGGGAGGGAGAGGGAGGGGAGGGAGAGGGAGGGAGGGAGAGAGAGAGAGAGTGGGAGGGTAGAGGGAGGAGGGAGAGAGGTTGAGGACGTTCTGCGAGAGGCTGGAGTTTTTGCTCAAGTTTGGGCTGAAAGGTAGGAGAGGAGGAGGGGAGGGAGAGGGAGGGAGGGGGAGGAATGGAGGGTAGGGAGGGAGAGGAGGGTGGGATGGGGGGGAGGGAGGGAGAGGAGGGGGGAGGGAGGGAGAGGGAGGGTGGGGTGGGATGGGGTGGAGGGAGGGAGAGGGAGGAGGGAGAGAGAGAGGGAGGGAGGGAGAGGGAGGGAGGGGGAGGAATGGAGGGTAGGGAGGGAGAGGGAGGGAGAGGAGGGGAGATAGGGAGAGGAGGGTGGGAGGGGGTGGGGGGATAAGGAGGGAGTAGGGGAGGGAGAGGAGGGGAGGAGGGAGAGAGAGAGGGAGGGAGGGAGAGGCTGGAGTTTCTGCTAAAGGTAGGAAGGTAGAAGGGAGGGAGGGAGAGAGATAAAGAGGAGGGAAAGAGAGGGGAGGGAAGGAGGGAAGGAGGGGGTAGGAGGGAGAGAGAGGAAGAGAGGGAAAAGGTGAGAGGGTAGGGTAGGGAGAGAGAGAGAGAGGAGGAGGGAAGGAGGAAAGGAGGGAGAGGAGAGGAGGGGAGGGGAGGAGGGAGGAGAGGGGTAGGGTAGGGAGAGAGAGAGAGGAGAGGGTGAGAGGGTAGGGTAGGGAGAGAGAGAGGGGAGGAGGGAAGGAGGGAGAGAGAGAGGGAGGGAATAATAATCTATTTATTATTTATTTAAGTAAATAGATAGTAATAATGTATATTTTTTCAAATTCAAAAATGCATCAATTTCAAAATCTGATTTCTGGATTTTTTTTTTTTTTTTTAATCTAATTCAAAATCTCTCTTGAAATCCTCTCCTTATTTTTGCATATTTTCCCTTTTTTTTTTTTGTATTTTCAAAATTGAAAAAGAAATCTTTCTTAATCCTTAATCTTTCTAAATTCTAAAAATCAAAATGGAAATTCAAAAATCTTTCTAAATTTCCAAAATCTCTCAAAATCAAAATCTTTGTTTGTAATATAAAGCGAATCTGATTTGAAATTTGTAAATAATAATTTATTTAATTATAATTTATTTAATTATAATTTATTGTAAATAATAATTAATAATAATAATTTTCTCTCCCTCTTCCTCTCCCCCCCCCCTCTCCCCCCCCTTCCCCTCCTCCTCTTCCCCTCCTCCTCTTCCTCTTCCCCCTTTCTTCCTCCTCCCCTTCCTCCCTTTCTCCTCTCCTCCCCTTCCTCCCCCTTCCCCCCTCTCCCCTTCCCTTCTTTCTCCCTTTCTCCCCCCCTTTTCCCTCCTCTCCCCTTCCCTTCCTTCTCCCTTCCTCCTCTCCCTTCCCCCTTTCTTCCTCCTCCCTTCCTCCTCTCCCTTCCCTTCTTTCCCCCTTCCCCCCTTCCCCTCCTCCCCTTCCCCCTTTCTTCCTCCTCTCCCTCTCCTCCCCCTCCCCCCCTCCTCCTCCTCCCCCCCTTTCCCCTCCTCCTCCTCCCCTTCCTCCTCTCCCTCCTCCCCTCCCCCCCTTCCTCCTCTCCCTCTCCCCCTTCCCCTCCCCCCCTCTCCCTCCTCCTCCTCCCCCCCCCCCCCCCCCCCCCCCCCCCAGAACGCAGCCTGGTCCTGGGGGGGCGCAAGGACCTGTGGCCGTACCTGTGCCGCTGCCTGGAGGGTCGGCGGAACATCCAAGAGGGAATAGCGCTCGTCAAGGCCAACAAAGAGGTATGGGGTGTGTGTCCCTCGTGTGCGCGTGTCTGTGTGTGTTTGTGTGTGTGTGTGTTTGGGGGTCTCTCGTGTGTGTGTGTGTGTTTGTGTGTGTTTGTGTGTGTTTGTGTGTGTGTTTGGGGGGTCTCTCGTGTGTGTGTGTGTGTGTGTGTTTGTGTGTGTTTGGGGGGTCTCTCGTGTGCGTGTGTGTGTGTTTGTGTGTGTTTGGGGGGTCTCTCGTGTGTGTGTTTGTGTGTGTTTGTGTGTGTTTGGGGGGTCTCTCGTGTGTGTGTTTGTGTGTGTTTGTGTGTGTGTTTGGGGGGTCTCTCGTGTGTGTGTTTGTGTGTGCGTGTGTGTGTGTTTGGGGGGTCTCTCGTGTGT